AGGACCGGTGAATTTGTTATTTTTTTCCAAAACTTTGACATTGTTAGAAATATTGTGTTTATTAAAAAAAAAAGACTAAACTTTGCACACTATTATGGATCATAAAATTCAAACATAGTGTAATAATTCGGGTTTTCGGTTAATCGAACTAAATTACTTAATAACCGAAAACCGAACCGAAAAACTGAAATTTTAAAATTTTAAACTGAAACCGACCGAACAAACTGAATAACCGAAACCGAAATAATTTTTTTTTCGATTCAGTCGATTTATTCGGTTCCGACCGAAATATGCCCACCCCAATCAATGTGGAAAGGTATTTTGTCTAATTGGTTCTATCCAATGTTGCAAGTGCACCAACAACTCCATATGATTTTCTATTCGAAATTTATCGGTTCGACTAATTTAGATTCACGTTATCAAATATTATTATGCATTTTTATCCGAAAAAGGATCAAAAATTCTAATTAAATGTGAAGGAATCTTACCATTTTAATTCACTACACCTCTCAATATTATATGCTTCAACTCACTATAGGAAGAAAGAAAAAAAAAGGATACATAAAATTCATGTAAAGCAATGGTGGGAATAGACACAACTGTTTTTCCATTAAAAGGACATTTTATATTGGATATCCCCACATTTCCATTTTGTAGAGTGAAAAAGAAAATTCCATGTGTGACATGGCAAATAACAATTATAGCATTAATACAATCACATTATTAGAAATAAATAAGAAAAATGATTTTTCTAAAATGGTAATCCGAGAAAAGTTGAAAATTGATGCAAAAACTTTTTTGAAGTTTATATTAACCATTTGCTAGTAACTAAAGCCTCACTCTAATAATGTCGAGTCTGACTGAATTCAATTCATAAACCCAAAAATGAAAATAAGGGCCCGTTTAGCCTTAAAAAAAACTTTTTCCGGAAATTTATGAATTTCGGAATTTTTTAGAAATTTGAAAAGCTCCAAAAAGTTGTTATTCAAAAATTTTAATCTAAATCACTTACAAAACTTCAAAAACAATTCCAGATTGTATTTATGTCCAAACATAACTCTAATTTTCAAATATTATTTTCACTTGAATGATAGATTTTGTCGCTAAACGAAGCTTGTTTAAATAATTGTAATTTTCTTTGAAGATTAAAGGAAATTTTCTTTTCTTCTAACTGCTAAACTTTTGAGAATATTCTTTTTTTTAATTCAGCGATTAAGCATATTCTTAAGCAACTTTTCGTATTAAGACCAAGTCTCTCTCCCGCCATGATTTGGTAATTAATGGTTAATGATCTTATAAAATTGGTCAAATAACAATTAAAACGGAATACAACCCCAAGTTGACACTTGATTGTCAACCCAATTAATTGAACGGAAAATACTTTACCGCATTCGCTATTTCACGGGCCAGCCAGTTTTCGGACTGTTCATTCAAAAATAGTTAGCATTTGCCAATGGGGGATTTGCGCCCATACCCGATTTTTGGGTAACGTTTTAACTTATACCCGCTTGCAATTTTACCCACTTTTTGCATAAACTTCAGGCATACGGGCCTGAAGTAGCAAAGACAATCACACAAAACTTCAGCATTCTAGGTTTTTTCAAAAACTTCAGTAGAATTGCTGAAGTTTTTTAGTTCATTTGTAAAAACTTCAGCACTAAATAAGCTGAAGTTTTGTTCTGGATTAATTGGTTTTATCATAAAGCTTTTTCAATAACTTCAGCAGAAGATGCTGAAGTTATTTAGTTCATTTGTAAAAACTTCAGCACTAAATATGGTGAAGTTTTGTCCTGGATTAATTGGTTTTGTCATAAAGCTTTTTCAATAACTTCAGCAAAAGATGTTGAAGTTATTTAGTTCATTTGTAAAAACTTCAGCACTAAATAAGCTGAAGTTTTGTCCTGGATTAATTAGTTTTGTCATAAAGCTTTTTCAAAAACTTCAGCATAAGATGCTGAAGTCATTTAGTTCGTTTTCAAAAACTTCAGTAGAAAATGCTGAAGTTATTTAGTTCATTTGTAAAAACTTCAGCACTAGATAAGCTGAAGTTTTGTCCTGGATTCATTAGTTTTGAAATAAAAAGCTTTTTCAAAAACTTCAGCAGAAAATGCTGAAGTTATTTAGTTCATTTGTAAAAACTTCAGCACTAAATAAACTGAAGTTTTGCACAGGTATCAGGAAGGCGGCGCCTGAAGTTGTAAAAATTAGGGCATAAGTTAAATAATTTTAAAAATATGGGTATAGGTTAAATGGGGGCGACCAAATAGAGCACCCCGCGCAATTTTTACTTTGCCAACTCATTGAAAAATAGTCACTATTTTACTGCAACATAGACCGGTCCAACATAATATAATGGAGTTCGGTGCACCTGTGTATGAACTTCTAACATATTATGCTGGAACTCCAACACGCGAAAAGTTCCAACATAATATACTGGAGATTCGAGCACCTGTGTATGAACTTCCAGCATATTATGCTAGACCAGTATACATACCTGAAACTTCAGTATATATACTGGAATTCCAGGATATTATACTGGAATTCCAGTATATTATGCTAGAGTATTTTCCGGATTTTGAATACTGTTTTTGTTCAAATTTATCTTTACATAAAAAAGGGTTAAATTTCGATTACTTTTGAAACTGTGGCTACTTTGCATTTTTGAGATGTATGGCCCTGCATTTGATATTTAAACCAAACAATGTACTTTTAGAATTTTACTTTCTGCCCGATGTTATATGTGGCACTGTATGACTGAAAAGAGTTTTAAAATGAAAGAAAAATTTCAAAAATTTGTGGTCTTGAGCATTTTTAGTCACAAAAATATATTATTTAAGGATAAAATGAGAAGTTTAAAGTTAAACTAATTCTAACTATAGAATTATGCATTTTTTAATATACTAAAAAGGAAAGAGTGTCACGTAAAATTGAATAAAAGAAATAAAAACAAATACATATTACTTAACTAAGATTAAATAACAAATATTAATATAAGAAAAAATAGGAAGCTACCAAAGAATAAACCTTTTTGTAGGCAATTAAATACTCGAATATATATGATTTTAATTTTAAAGAATCATAATTGCAGCGACGTGGCTTCTTTAAGGCATGACTTGACATGGTTGATTTATGGAAAACGACTTATAGAAATTATATAGTATGATGATTGATACTACAATTGATAAACAATAAATAAAAGGTTTGACTAACAATTCTTTAGGCATTTAGTTACCCTCAAAATCGAATAATAAATAAATTTGTAAGTAATTTTAATGATACGTGAATTAATTTAATACAAAGCGATAAATTAAATTACTATTGAATAAATAAAGATAAAATAAATTTGAACCATACGAATTGAATGGTTTCAGCCTTGTTGAAATAACTACTCTCGAGCCGGGCTCGCCACGACCGGTAAACTGTTGAAAAGAACAAGAGCTAAAGAAAGAGAAAATAATAATATATTGCTTTTCCGCGCGTGTTACAATGTACTTTATGAGCTATCAGACTCTTTTATATAGTAGTAGGGTCCTATTTTAGGTAACTCTATAAAAGGTGAAAAATCTTCTGATCATGATCATTACTTGTCGGTTCCTTATCGATATGTGAAGACTCTATCCATGATATTTGGGCGGCCACATATATTTTGGCTTTCTGTTGGCTATGTTGGATTGTCTGACAATATTCTTCGAAGTCCTTCGAGGTCAAGACCGATTCCGGAATCTTGGCCTCGATATTCTCGTGGAAATGCGTCATGCCTCCGAATTCTGGTTTGTGGGACTTTGATCCGATTTTTGTCCCTTGCCGCCATGTCTCGAACCTGGCTTATTTTGTCGGGGGTCGGCATGCACTATGAGCTCTATTTCACCCGTATACACAATTCTTTTTTGTAAATTTTTCAATGTAAAGCTAAAAAGAATCCCTTAACTTATAAGCTCTATACTTCTTCTATCTAATAAACTTTTCCCATTTTCTTCTCTTTATTTTATCCGATAAATACTAAATTTTAGAGTTAAGTTTTCTAACTAGTGTTCATGGCACAAAGCTGGTTGAAAGTAATAGTAATTGGTATTCTTTGATTATTTGCCTTGATCACTAAAAAATATAATAGTACATTCTTTTTTTTAATTATTATAGAGTTTCAATAAACTAGTAGTTTCCTAAATTAAATAGGATATAACCAATTTTTTTGTTTTATTAACTTGTATAATTTTCCAACTTTATTCTCTAATCAAAATATTTTTATTAAATACACAATATTTCAATAATATACTTGTATTTTAGATAAAAGAAAACATATAAAAAATTATAATGAGAACTAAAAGTTAACCAATTTAATATGATGAATGCATCAAACTTTAACTCGAAGTTCCGAATTAAGTTTTGAGAATAGATAAATTCTAAATAGGGAGTATTTTTCCTTTGTTAGGTGGGAGAAATTCAAAAATAGCAAGATTTTCAGGTGGTCATTTAAAAATATCCACAGTTTCAAAAGTAGTAGAAAATTAGCCACTTTTCATGTAAAGATAAATCTGAACGAAAACACTATTCAAAATTTGAAATATACTCCAGTATAATATATCGGTCAAACATAATATACCGATGTTCCAATCTCTAGTATATTATAATGGAACTTTCTGCGTGTTGGAGTTCCACCATAATATGCTGAAAGTTCATACGCAGGTGTACCGATTTCCAGTATATTATACTGGAACTTTCCATGTTGCAGCAAAATAGTGGCTATTTTTCAATGACTTTGCAAATACTGTTTATTTTTAAATGACTCGTTCGAAAACTGGCTAGCCCGTGCTATTTTTACTTGTTAATCCCTATCCATGAATTCAGATTTATCGGATCATTAATTTCGAATATTAAATATTTAAGAAAAAACTAAAAGGTAAAAATTACAACTTATATAGGTGATATTTTGGTAGAAAAAGAAAAAAAGAAAAATGAAAAGAGGAAGAGTATAATTAGGAATAGGAATTTAGCCATAGGAGAAAACAACAAATACTTGTCGACACCAATTTGAACTACTCACCTGAACCCCATCATAGATCAAATCAAAGATCAAATTGTTATTGTGTTCTCCAAATCAAACCCCATAAAAAATACACAAAATCTTGGCCCCCTCCAAATAAAATAAATGTAAAAAGAGAACCCCATTGAAGAACTGTAACAGAATTCAAACTGTAATTGGTACAGTGTTTTTGGTGTAAAACTAAAGGCAAAATAGGAGGTTGTTTATCATCAGGAGGGAAAGGGGGCAGAGCCTCGGAACCACAATCAGTTGTGGTTCAGAGGCTCTCGTCTCCTATTCCAATTCCAACAACTGCAGCTGTTTCAGCGACGTCGTTTAGGGAGAATAGCTTTAGTGCTGCTGGTGATGCAAAGATGAAGGGGTTATTCAAGTCTAAACCAAAGACTCCAGTTGACCTTGTTCGTCAGACTCGTGATCTTCTTATGTTCCTTGAGCGTGCTGCAGATACTCGCGAGACCAAAAAAGATGAAAAGGTTTGATCTTTATTCTTATTTTTGCTAAATTAATGTTGGCTTTTCTTGTGTTAATGTCTTGTATTAGGAGAAAACTGGGACCCCGATAGAGTGAAATATATAGGTATTTGAATCTTTGATTCTCACTAGTTTGGAATTTAGGCGTAGTTGATGAAAAGGTTTGATCTTTATTCTTATTTTTGCCCAGAAAAAGAGAATTAGTTTTTCTTTTCTCAATGTCTTGTAATGGGAGAAAATGGGACTCCAATAGAGTGAGATATGGCGGGATTTATATTGTTGATCCTACCTAGTTTAGAATTGGGGCGTAGTTGATAAAAGGTTTGATCTTTATTTTTTGAGAGAAAAATGGACCTCCAATAGAGTGAAATATGTATCTTTAATTTTCGCTAGTTTGGAATTGAGGTATAGTTGATGAAAAGGTTTGACCGTTATTCTTATTTTTGCCAACAAAAAAATGTTTGCTTTTCTTGTCTCAACCTCTTGTATTGGGAGAAAAGTGGGACTCCAATAGAATGAAATCTATAGGGGATCCTGGCTAGTTTGGAATTGAGGCGTAGTTGATGATTGATTGATTGTTTGTTGCATTATCGTGTCTTGTATTGGGAGAAAAATGGACCCCAATAGAGCATAATATATAGTTATTTGTATCTTCGATTCAAACTAGTTTGGAATTGAGGTCTAGTTGATGATTGCCTGATTGTTGGGTTGAGATTTTTGAATTGGCTTAGTTTGTGAATTAATGACCTGAATAGGTTGATGCTTATTCTTATTTTTGAAAAAAACAAAAAGGGCAAGATAACTAGTTTGGAATTGAGGCATAGTTGACGTGATTGATTGATTTTTAGGCTGATACTTTTGAATTGGCTTAGTTGCGGATTAGTGATGTGAGTGGACTATGGAGTGGAATGGGTATAGAGGATTCATATAGCTGAGCTCAACTAGTTTGATTTGAGATGCAGTTAATTAATTCTTACTGAAAAATGTTACCTTTCTTATCTTCTATCGGAAGAAAAATGGGACTCGAACAGAGTGAAATATATAAGGATTTATGTTTTCTGTCCTAACTAGTTTGGAATTGTGGAATAGTTGATGATTGATTGATTGTTGGGGTGAGACTTTTGAATTAGCTTAGCTTATGAATTAGTGATTTGAATAGAGTGGAACGGACAGAGGGGATTCATAGTTGATTGTGGAACGGATACAAGGGATTCATAGTTGATTGGTTTGATTCAATTGTTTGAATTAGCTTGCTTTGTGAAATTTTCACAATTGGGATAGCTTTACTAAACCCAATTTGGATCTGGTTCATTTTCTTGTTATCAAAATTTATTTTTTAATTCTGTGGATTTGTTGATAACACCAATTGCTAAGTGAACAATGGAAGCGGTGGATAAGAGTTTTATGTGATATGCAGTAGAATTGGTGACTGAACTCAAGTGATTTCTCAAATATGTGATCTGGAGTTGCGTGTTGAATCATCAGTGACAATGCCCGTTATGATTTGAGATAGATATATGGCAGTACACTTTTGTATGAGTTATGCTTTTGCTTGATTATGTTTAGTATAGTGTTTGTTATACACTTTTTCTTCTTAACCGCATATCTGCAGATGATGGAGTTAAGCAAGTCAATCCGGGAATTAAAGATTATTCTTTACGGGAATGGTGAATCCGAGCCTCTCGCTGAGGCCTGCGCTCAGTTGACTCAAGAATTCTTCAGAGAGAACACACTCCGGCTGATAATTACTTGTCTTCCCAATTTGAATTTAGAGGTAATTTGAGCTTATGGTCAGATAATCTCCTTCTTGTCATGTCAGCTGGATCTTATGTATGGTTTTCTTTTTGCATTTCGAGAGTGTGTGTTGTTCTCTAGTTTCTCTAACTTTTAAGGTGATTCTACTACATGTTATTTGATCAATTTGAATTGGGTTTTCACTTCTGTTAAGCCTGTTACTCTTTTGACATCTTGTTTTTGTCTGCTCCTTATTTTTCTATAATAAAATGATGTTTCTATTTCACAGACCCGCAAAGATGCTACTCAAGTAGTAGCAAATCTGCAGAGACAGCAGGTTCAGTCACGGCTGATTGCTTGTGATTACTTGGAAGCAAACATTGATTTGATGGACATATTAATATTAGGGTAAGCTACAGCCGACAACATGCTCAAAATGTGGTGGCTTTGTACTCCTACATTGTCAAATGCTTCTTGTTTATTAGTTTTCCATATTCTTTAAGTTTTTGCATTTACTTTTCTGCCACTGGTTTCTAATCTGTATCCATGCGAAAGCTAGGTCAGATTATTTAAATAAAAGAAATCTTTTTGTATCCATAGACTTTTGGCCTAGAAGTTCTTGTGTTCCTTATACTGATTTAAAAACAAGGTTCTTGTATTCCTTTATTTTCATTCAGTATTTTGTGTGTTTCTAACCCTTGTCTGCATGATCTTCTTTCATTTGAAACACTTCCCTTTTCTGGTCCAATAGAAATATCGGCTCTACGCAATGGCAAAATTCAAAAATTAAATTCAGATATTAATTTTAGCACAGACCTTAATTTTATTTATGAGTCCAATTGTAAGTATTTTCTGGATGTTTACAATGTCATCTGCATGGCTAGCCAAATTTTATCCCATTTTGGTAGTATTTTTCCGCTGCCTTTTTGCAAGCATTTGATGTCGGAGAGCTTCTAGGAAGTTATTTTGTGGGTGCAAAGGATGTTTGTGAGGATTCCTGTTGCTAATCTCTTTGTTATGTGTTCGCTGACTTCTTATTGATCCTTTTCCCTTGTCATTTAGTTATGAGAATACAGATATGGCTTTACATTATGGTGCAATGCTGCGGGAGTGCATTCGCCACCAGAGTGTTGCAAAGTAAGCCACATGAACCTATTTTAGGGATTTTTTCGTCTTTTAGAAAACTGTCTAGAATTATTTCTTTGCTCCTTTTAAGTTTTGTTGGTGTTAGGAGATTTATTTATGTGACCTGCCGTTGAAGTAATTAGTTTCTTTCAGTAATCTCTTTCTAGTCCCTGATTAAGGCTTGAATAGAAACATAAAAGTAGCTCTGTGCTATTGTATGGCTCTTTTTTGCTGAGAACTTACATTTATTCTTTTGTTTTTAGATATGTCTTGGAGTCTCAGCATATGAAGAAGTTTTTCAATTATATTCAGCTGCCAAATTTTGACATTGCTGCTGATGCTGCTGCCACTTTTAAGGTTGAATGCTCTTGATCAAGAATCTGGAATGAATATCGTATAGATAATCCTGTTTTCATTATTGTCATTGTCATTATAGTGGTGACCATTTGCATTGTTTAATCAATTTATATTGACTATAAAGCAAACAACCTGTCTGTCTGCTTCTCCTTTGCCTTATCACTGCCTCATTAAGTTGGGAGAAAAAGCAGAAAGCGAAGTCATTTTGCTACTTAAAATTAGAAAATATTTAAGAAGTAAATGCATAGGGACAAAATGGCTTTGGAAAGTTATAGCTTTTGCTGTTCCATAGGGACTAAGTTATCATGACTATTGCGGCATTATCCTGATTGGCTTATATTTCTTGTCAGGAACTCTTGACAAGGCACAAATCAACAGTAGCTGAATTTCTTTCAAAGAATTATGACTGGGTAATGAAAGAGAATTATTTTGAGAAGTGTTTCTATTGAACGTGTGCAGGCAATTTTTTTTTTTCCGAGGAATTATGCTGCTTGTGACTTTATTTTCACATATATACATAATGCTTGCAAGCTACTTCTTCAGTACTAGTTCTGCTTACACTATTAAGTTCTTTGTTAAGATTACATGATTGTAAAGTCATCTTTTTTGCTCTTGAGTGTTTCATGGCAATGTATTATCCCGTTGGCAATAGTATTATAATCCTAAATTGTGGACCTTATTCTTGTTGTTCCATTTGTCTATTACATCCACGTTTTTGAAGTTGAGGGAAGGGGTGAAAACAGAAAAGATCAATTGTAATTATCCAAAGGAAACTGAAAATTATCTTGCATCTTTGAGGGTTAAGGATATTTTCAGATCAACTACTTCAACTTTCAGTTGTTTTATCAGAG